CTTTTTTAACTTAATAAATAACAAATCGTTTTTGTGCATGTGTTGGTTTATTATTAGTATGTATTTACGTTTCTGTTTCTCTGTACTGTTTTCTTCCTTCTTCTTCTTCCTTGTTTTTTTTTTTTTCTTTATTTTTTGGAAGTGCAAATCGCATTCCCCTAAATAAATACGTACACATCTTTCCCATTCAACTATGTTCAATCGTAGGTACCGCCCATTTCTCCTTCTTGAATTTGTGTTTTTCTTTCCTCTTACCTTCTATAGTTTTTCCCCTTACTGTTAAGTTGTTTGTGTTCACTGTATATAATAGGTATAATTGAAATCCCGATCTTTACTTGCTTGCGCGCAGGTGATGGCAGACGACAGTATTCAAAATGATGAAGTCCAGATTCTTATAGATGGGAGGCTGGAATTGCTTTCAGCATTACAGATACAGAAGCATCAAATTTTCAAAGTGCCTCGCGAGTTACGTGAGGTAAATAAAAATACCTATGAACCGCATATCGTTTCTATCGGTCCTTATCACCATGGTAAAGATCACTTGAAGGCAATGGAAGTACACAAGGTTCGTTTATTAAATATGCTTCTTCAAAGAACAAATCAGCCTAATACCTTTACATATGTAGCGGCAATGAGAGGTATGATGGAAGAGGTTCGTAATTGTTATGCAGAATGTTTAACCATGTCCATGGATAAGTTTTTAGAAATGATTGTTCTTGATGGATGTTTTGCTGTTGAACTATTTCATCAACTTCATCATAAAAAGTGGTACAATGATGAATTATTCAAGGTAGATATGATTTTCTCAAGGATTTTGCTTGATTTGATGCTATTTGAGAATCAACTTCCTTTCTCTGTAATTTGGAAGTTACTGGACATGGGGGATGAAAATAAAAAGATTGAATACATTAAGTCATTCTTTGAGGTGTTTGATGATTCAATACTGCCAGGGTTCAAGGTCAAGGATGAAAACGGGAACGAAGGTTTAATAGCAAGTGCCAAGCACCTCCTAGACTTAGTTCACACTAGGTGGAGTTCTTCAATAGGGGGCAAGGGGAATGTAACCCATGGCGAGGGTTCAATAACGTGTGTCGAGCATCCCCTAGACTCTGTTCATACTAACTGCATTTCTCCAACAGAACAAACAGGTGCCAATAAGAATATTGTGGAGAGAGGAGGTTGTTTGTGTTACATACCTTCCGCTTCAGAACTGACAGAGGCAGGAGTTAAGTTCAAGAAGTTTGAGGGAGAGGGACGCAACCTGTTTGATATAAAGTTTACAAATGGGATACTTCAGATTCCAACACTAATTATTCAGAATAATACAGAGTGTTTGCTTCGTAATATCATTGTTTGTGAGCAATTCGACAGTGAGTCTCAAGTTAATTACTGGACTGATTATATTGTTCTCATGGATTGTCTAATAAACACAGAAAAGGATGTGGAGTTACTTTGCCAGAGTGGAATAATTAGTAGCTTTTTGGGTGATAATGCAGCAGTTGCTACCCTGTTTAACAGGCTCGGGTATCATGTAAGCTTCTCTCAAGAAAAATTCTTCTATAAAGAGTTATTTGGTGATGTCAAGAAGCATCACGGCTCGTTTTGGAACAGAAACATGGCAAAGTTAAGGCACGATTACTTCAACAGTCCATGGTCGTTGATCTCCTTCCTTGCTGCAGTTTTCTTGCTCCTACTTTCCCTGGTACAGACTACATTTACAATCTTTTCACGGAATTGAAAGTGCAGGAAACCAGAAGCTTTCATCCATGGATTTGGCTCTTCAACATATATCTGAATAAGGCGGGGACTTCTTAGGCCAGAATGTGTGATTAGTTGTGCAAGTGTGAGTGCATGAGATTATTTGTTGATTGTATAATACCGTAATAGTAGTTGTTGGTTGTGATACCATCGAGTGTGTTAACTGGCATGCGAGTGCTCAGCCTTGTTTCTCTCCTCTGTTTCTTTAGTTAATCAGGGCACTGTACTTTCTTACCTATAATTTCAAGGCAGTGTATCCCTAAGTATACTACATCATGCAATAAAATTCATTTTTTATTGGGGAAAAAAAGGCATGGTTTTGCCTATGAAAGCAACATAGAGAAGTGTAATTTTCAATGATAAACAAGTCAAGTAAGCCTTCTTATGCCGAAACCTCGAGTTTAAAATTTTAAAGGTCACTGCATTGCCATTACTAACATTTGAATCACTCACCTTTGAAACCTAACAATCTGCTTCCTGGTTTGGCTTGCTTCTTTATGATAAGTGGAATTTTCCCATATGGGTGTTGTAGGCCTGAGTTGGGCCACAAGGCCTGATTTGTTCCCTGGCCTGCTTTTATCTCCACAAGTCAAATGCTGGCGCAACCGGCCAGCCAAGAGCATAAGTGTCGATGTTATATTTATATACAATATATTATATTGAATCATAATAGTAATGAGTAATATAATAATTATATCATTTAATCTTACAATAATTAATTTTTTATAATTTAAATAATTTATTTTATATAATTAATTAAGTTCACATCTATACATGTAGTTTTAATTATTTTGATTTAGTTGCATAAAATTCTTAACGAATGTCAAGGTTTAATTCATTACAATAACAATTAATAATCTCTTACCTTCCAATTGTCTCATGTTAAAAAAAAAAAAAAAAAATTCACATCTAAGAATGACTAATGAGTCATTTTATTCTTAAACTTAATATCACAAAAAATTATTAAACTTTACAAAAAAAAAAAATTATTGTTATCTATCTACTTAAAAAAAATTCAGGATAATTCCTCAATTTTAGAAAAAAAAAAATCAACCACCATCCTTCTTTTGAGTTTTGACGAATGTTATAACACCGTCACTCTCCCTATCAATGCCGTCTATCTCTAGTTAAATGCTTTGTTATCTTATAATTTCTGTCCAATGTAACAATAATAGGTCTCAATGAACTACAATATCTTTATTTAACCACATCCTACAAACTGCTTATAGTCTCTACACCTAGTATTATAGTATCGACAGTCGACCCTTGTCGGGTTTTTCGCATCCCTACGCAATTTTCTCAATGACAAAACAGCACCACCTCCTCCAGCTTCTACATAATGAACACCTCAATCCTGTAACTTTGAATTCAAGATGTTCATTATGTAGAAGCGGGAGTATAAGATGCGCTATTTTATCACCATTGAGAAAATTGCAAAATGATTCCAAAAACCAGGCACAGGTTGAGTGTCGGCACCATATATATAGGTATTGACACTATAAAAAGTTATCAGCGTGTGATTAGTTAAGGATATTGTATTTCATTGAGACTATTATCGTCATGTCGGACAAAAATTATAAGATAACATGGCATTTAACCGGAGATGGACTCCATTGACAGGAGATTGACGATGTTATAGCTTCCGTTAATGGAAGAATGATGGTTTACGCCTTTTTGGAAGTTGAGAGATTATCATGAACTTTTTTAAAACAAAGAGTAATAATAACTCCTTTTGTAAAGTTTAAGTATTTTTGGTGAGATTAATCCTTATTCTTACCAGATTCGAACGGTAACACAATCAAATGTTAAAATTGAAGTGCTATAAGAAATACTCAAAAAAAGATGCAATCAGTTATTTTTTGGAATTGTGGTCCAACATCTTGTTACGGGCTTAGAGCCCAAAGACAAGCCCAAGCATAAAATAGTTTGTAGAAGCATAACTACTCATTTAGTCATTTGATAACAAACGAACCAACTAGGGGATTCTGCATGTCACCAGTATTATAAATGGGGTTATAACTTATAAATATATACCTCTAATTATCCACATTAAATGTAATTACTATCTCTCAAATTCTCTCTCTATTCTCTAGTTAAGACTTAAGAGTTTCTTTTTCTAGAATTTATAGATTATTGTTGATTTAAGTATTGAAAGCTTTTCCTAAGAAAACATCCTTGAGCTTAGTTGAAAGTTTTTCTTTTTAAAGTTTATAAATTATTGTTGATTAAACATTGAAGTGTATTTCTTGAGAAAACTTTCTTGAACTTTGCATGTCACAGGACAACGGAGTGTATGACCTTTTTTTTGAACTCAGGAAATTTTGAAGATAGAAAATTAGTTAGGACTTCATGGGCTAACATCTCTTATCGAAAGGGTACGGTCATTGGGCCTTGGATGAAGTGTATATGACCTTGGATCCATCCGACCCAAACATTTTCTGCTTCAACAGTTGACAAAAATTGGACCTGGCCCAAATGATTACTTTCGAAAACAGCACAAAGTGAGCATGAACTATCCTAAAACTAATCCCAAAGAAACAGAATCCAAACAAAAAAAAGACACAGCTAGAAATTAAGAGAAAAAAAACAAAGAAACAAACAACCAAAACTCCTGGCCATGCTTATTGTTACACAATAAATTATTGAAGTTGCAAAAACTTTTCAATTTTATCTTTTAAAATATTAATTTTATTTATTTTAATTATTACAAATAATTACAAATTATAACTGTAATTAATAAATAATAAAATAATCAATAATTATTATTTAATATATTATAATTGACATGTTGAATTTCGAGAGAAGGGAGAAATGAGACTGTCTGGTAAGGTTGTTGCAGTTAACAAGACTATAATTTCACGGGTCAAGAGTAGGGGTGGGAAAAAACCGGTTTCGGTTAAAACCGAAACCGATTTTGAATTAATCGAAAAAATTTAGTTTTAATTTTACAAACCGAAACCAAACCGAAATTGTTATAAG